GCTTTCTGGATTCTTCCTTCCTCTCATAGCTATAAGCTAAAAGTTCTGTTGTCATTTTAACCCGGTAACCTTCCATGTCACATTATTGCACTTCATTTATGCTTAAATCCATCATTAGAAACTCTGTGAATTTCACTACAAACATACCACAATTACACCTGCATTTGTATAAAAAATTCAAAGTCAGCAAACATTTTGTACTGCCTACATTTTCAACACAGGTAAGGTCACTCTCACAAAATCATAATAGTTAACTACCACAGTGCATATATTGTGGCATTGTATTTCAGACATTGAATTTTTGACAGTGCATATATTGTGGTAGTGTATTTCAAACATTGAATTTTTGGAAGTACATATTGTGGCTAACATTATGGCAGTGTATATATTGTGGCAGTGTAGATATATTGTGGCAGTGTATATATTGTGGCAGTGTATATACTGTGGTAGTGTATATATAATACAAATTTGTTTAATTAAGGGTAATATTGGGAATTCATCTCAAAAACTTATATCACTGCTATTTTGCGTATTATAAGCCTATTAAAGTGCTATATTCGTATTTCTCCCTATTTTCAATTAACATGTACCATCTAGATAATTAGTTCATCTTATGGACTAATTTGGGAAAACACATAGTTATTGACTACCATTTTAAAAAATTTACTTATTTAAAAATGAACTTAAGTGTATAATTTTATTTTTAGATTTGTTTAAATATTTAAACAAGTTGATTTAAAAATAAAAGTTTTCATTACAATAGACTAACAAGGGTGGGAGGGAGGGACTGACCGTTAACAAAGATTGTTGCGCGTATGTTTGTTTGTATTCCACATTCTTCGTTCCACATTGCTCCAAATTCCAAAATAAAATGTCTCCCATTGCAAATTGACTTTAGTGAAAGATCTTTAATTTATACCTACATGTAGCTAAATTGATGGTTTTCATTCACCTGAACAGGGTTAGAAAGATAGGAATTATCAATTATAGCATCAAAATATCGAATGTTTTCCAAAATGTTCGAGACACTTATTTCTAGGATCAAATTTTTTTTATCATAAACCGAATGTTGATAAGAGTAATATTTTACTCATTGTAAATTATTGATATTATGTTTAATTCAAGAAAATTGAGAGGTTAAAAAATGAAAATGAGATTGAAACTCGTTTTTAATATTTGCTAGAGAGAAAAAAAGTGGAAGAATTTCTTTTAGCTAAACTAAGCTAAGAAGAGGAAAAACATGCATCCCTCTATTTCGTGAGGAAAATGAGAGAAATATTTTTCTTTTGCTTTCCTTCATTATTTCTTGAACCAAAAATAGTGTTAGAGATCGTTTGATTAATGTAAAAGATATGAGTTCTGATATATCTTAATATCTTCTGAAAAGTGTCAATGAACACTTATTCTAAAAAATGATTGACCTTTCCATAATGTAAATAGGGAAAAAATATACAATAGAAGACAATGATGAAATATAAATTCCACCACCTCACACTTTCTCCACTTTATATTATGAACGTCTAAGGATTCCCCTTTATAAAGTGGAGTGAATGTCCTAATTAGGATTCTCCCTATAAAGTGGATTCTATCAAAGAATTGAACTCTATTACAAATTGGAGATCGTACCTAGTTGGAAGAGTCCGTACACGGAATACAAGCTATGGAATCGAAATTGGAAATAACAATTCTAAATTCGTGATTTGGTAGCACAAAAATAAGTGAATTTGGAATTGGTAGTGCCAGAAATGAATGGGAATTGGAAAATTCAATTCTATCCAAATTAATTTCATACAATTTATATTCTCAATTCAATTCTAATTCTGTTAATTACGTGTACCAAACGGACTCTTAGGGAGTAATTTCTTTTAATTGAGTGATTTGAATTTGTGATTTTTAGATTAACAAAATGTTACTCCCTCCGTCCCGTTTTAAATCGTCTGTTTTGACTTTGGGACATATTTAAGGAAGAGAAAAAATAGAGTTGACTTTCCAAAGTAGTTGTCATTATTTTTTAGGAGGGGTGACGATGAATGAAAAAATAAGGTGGAGAAGAGTGACTTATTTTAGGGGTAGTTTAGGTATTTTACTCTTAAAAGTTTACGATAACAAAAAAAACATGCAACTTATTTTGGGACGGAGAAAAAAGAAAACATGCAATTTAAAATGGGACAGGGGAGTATTATACTATGGATCGAAACATTAAAAAATCAATCCCAACACATAAGATATGTTTGGTGAACAAAGGAGATATGAAGTCTGATATCTGGATATCATAAATCTTTTTTATGATTGATTAAGTTAAAAGAGATATTGAATTTGATATCTTCAAAAAATATGGGGATTTGATATCTCCATATCATAGCAGAAATCCGTGAAAAAAAAATATGAGTTCTGAACTCTTCTTTTATGTTTGGTGAAGTTAAAAGAAATATTAAATTTGATCTTTTCAGGTTATATGGTATTTGATATCTCCGTCAACTGTTTGACCATTTCTCGCCACCAAATACCACTGGTACCCCAATCATCTCTGTTGTCAGACACTCCCACTTATCACTAATTAAATTACGATTTTAAATCTTTTCAAATAAATTAATTTTAGATTTCAGAATTCAATCATCTCTCACAAATTTCAAAACATATTATATCTTCAAAACCTATGAAATGGTCCTTAAAGAGTGGATTAATTGAAAGAGGAATCAGAATTTTCGATCTCTCCTAAGGCACTTAGAGCACTGGTAATACTCCTCACGCCCACCGGCATTACGGGGCGTTAAACGCCCCGGGGGCGTGAAACACCGCCCCCGCCGGTGTTAAACGGGCGTGAGGAGCCCTGCGTCAAACGAATGACGTGGCGTGACTCTTGCGCGGCTCCCTCCTAACGGCTAAAAAAGCCGTTGCACCCCAATTTCAAAAAAAAAAAATTCCTATAAATTCAACCCTCTCCAACCAATCTCTCACACCTTCTCTCCAATCTCTTCTTCTTTCTTATTTTTAAATATCAAAATTCAAACCCCTCCTCCCAATTTTCAACATGAATCCTTCCGGCTCCGGCTTCTTTCCCGACGATCTCCCGCCCGTCGACGCCGCGATGTGGTATTACCAAGAGTTGGGCAATCGACCGCCGATGTACGAGACGCAACAATCGGGGTAGTTGACCGAGATTCGGTTCCGGAGACTCAACCGGAACCGTCCGGATCGAAAAATAGTACACGCCGGAGGAGCCACAAAGCCAAAAGCACATTGACCGAGGCGGAACGGTCAATCCAAAAGTGGACGCCGGAGGAGGAGTGCATATTGGCGTCGGCTTGGGTTGACGTCTCCGAGCATCCTATCATTGGTAGGAGATTTATTTTTTGTAATATATTTATGTTTTTATTTATATATATTATATTTAATGGTGTCAAAAAAAATTGTGTAATACTTTTTTAAAGGTACGGAGCAAACGAAGGATGCGATGTGGGATCGTATCGAGGAGAAGTTCTTCACGGCGATGAAGAAGGACGGCTCCTACCGAACCCGGGACCAACTCACTTCCAAATGGAGCCACATCAACAAAAAAGTCCGAAAGTTTATGGGAGTTTACGAGGAATGCTCCCGGTCTCGGAGGAGCGGCACGAACGACGCCGATGTTCTCCGGCTTGCCACGACCCGGTATCAAGACGACGGGAACCAAGGCAAGGTGCCCATCGATCTTTGGAGGATTTTGAGTCGTTCCCCGAAGTGGCAACAACTCAACAATCCCGACGGCGGACCGTTCCGGACCGACGGCGGATCATTCTGGAAAAGATCCACCGTCGACGCCGAGGTTGAGGTCGACAAGACTATCGGTTCTACCGATCAAATCCCTCCCTTCAACGTTGCGGATTCCGATGACGAAGACCCCATTCCACGGCCGATCGGAAGAAAGAAGGCAAAATCCATTGCCTCTGGTTCGGGAGGGTCCGCCTCTGTTTCCGCTTCTCCCCGCGACGAAATCGGCCGGGCAATGATTGAACAACTTCGGGCGTTCATCTCCAAGAACAAGAGAGGTTGAAACTTAAAGAGAAGGAGTTGAAGCTAAAGGAGTAGGAGGCCGAGATGAAAGTGATGCAAACCGACCCCGGGACGTTGTCGGAGTTTGGACGAATTATCTACGAGCAAAGAATGAGAGAGATCAAGGAGAAATATAATTTTCCTTAGTTTTTTTATTAATGTATCTTTTTTTTAAATTATTGTCGCTTTTTTTATTTAATTAATGTTTTTTTTATTATTCGTGTTTCAATTTAATTAAATAAAAAATTAAGTACATTTTATTAATTTAATTTTAGAAGATGTATATTTAAAAATGTAAAAAATGAAGGTTTGAAGCCCAGTTTTGAAGCCTCGGGGCTTCAAACCCATTTCCAGTGAATTTTGGGTGTAAGTTAAAGTTGACGTGGCAGAAAGAGAAAGTTTGAAGCCCCGGGGCTTCAAACGTATTACCAGTGCTCTTAGCTATGGGCCGTTGGACTTCCAAAAAAAACTATGGGCCGGTGGGAGATTCGTATGTGGGGGCGGGGATTAGAAAAAAGTGTGCTTCACATTATTTTTTATATTTTTTATTTAAAAAAACACAATCTTATGTAAATAGTAAAAAAATATTCATTTTGCTCATATGTAGGTCTATAATAGACCTAATGTCCACCATAAAATTTGTCTAAAAAAAGTGACCCCATGCACGAAGAGCATGAAGTTCGGGTCTTCAAATTTTTTGAAAGATATTATTATGAAATGACAAAAAAAAGTACTCTGTAATAAATTTAATTTTAAATGACCATTCAAATAATTAATGAAAAAATCTTTAAGAATAGTTTGTATACTTTCACTTTTAAATACGGAGTATTATTCTAATAATTTTAATTTTATTACTTTCAAATTCCATTCTATTTATGGAATACTTTTTAATATTTTTTTATTTTATCAACTTTTCTTTTGTAATTTTTTACTCCGTATATGGGTGGAACTTTTTTAACTAGGGATATTCTTTTAATTTACCAATTTTTTTAATACACTAGATTTTGGGAAAGTAGAAATTTAAAATGATTGTTGGCTTTGTTGTTTTATTGTATTTACTCCGTATTATACTATAGAGTTATAGTCGGAGTAGTAATCATGTTTTAAAGATGGGATTCCTTCGGTGCCCTTTCTAAAGTGGGTGTTTTAAAACACTCCATACTTGTCCCAATTATTAATTGACATGTGGACACATATGCCATCTCATTTAAGTAGAATTAAATTTATCTTTTTTGCAATCAAGTCTTAAGGTTATCTAAGCAAATTAGAACCAATCTTCGTGCCCTTCCAATCTTCCATAGTTCCGTTTCCTTCTTATGGTTTCCTTCAAGTGCGTAGCTCTCAATCCAAAGGAAAAGGAATTGCACCCGAAGCTCTCAATCCGAAACATGTTGTTTTTCTTCAAGCTAGGGTTTCATATCGGTTCATTTTTCATCTCCTTTTTCCGTAAACATTTCATTACTTCAATTTTATTTCTTTTGAAGATTTATTATCCAATATTTTGCATTAATAGAATAAAAAATGTAAGAAAGTGTTGTTGGCCGAATTCAAAAAAATAAAAATAAAGGAAATGGTTCCTCTCTTTTTTATACTCCCTCCATCTCATAAAGTTATTTTCGTTTCAAAAAAATTGCATCTCTTAAAGTCATTTCCATTTCTATCAAAAAACCACTTTTACCCTTTACTTTTTCATATCCTACTTATCACATCATACCTTTTTTTCTAATAATCTACACATCACTTCCTACTTTTACCCATCACATCAAGGGTATTTTTGAAAAGTCAACACAAAATTATCCCTTCTTATTTTACCACTTTAGTCAAACCGTCCCTATTTTTATGGGACGGAGGGAGTACTTACCCATCCTAAAATAATTTTCCAACCATTATTCACATGGTTAAACTTTATTTTTTTTGCTTATTTTTTTTAGAGTAATTCCATAATTGGTCCTTTATAACAGTGGGTTTCCATATTTAGTCCTCTGTTATCAAATATTACCCCCGTAACCCTTTTTTTATGAGTGCCTTTCCACAAAAGGTCCTTTTTTGATCTTCTGTCATGTTGATGTTAATTTTAAGGCTAAAAATATAATTTGACATCAACTTAACATTATGTCTAGTGACGTGTTCTGGTATTGGTTAAGTTGATAACACAGAAATAATGACTATGATTGTGGGCAAGGATTCCGACGAAAGACCACGACCGTGTTTGGAAAACAGCATTTGGGATAGCTTTTGGCATCTTTGACTGACTTTGGCTTTTTTAACCAAGCGAACCGCCAAAACCATTGTTTGGTTAATGGCTTTTTCACTTGGCATTTTGATCCGAAAAGCCAAAATCTGAAATGCCAAGGTGAGTAGCATTTGGACTTGGCGGTTAGGAAAAATAATTTTTTTAAAATCATTTTTGTTGAAAGATATTTTATAATATATGTGAAAAATAAAAATAAAAGTTAAAAAAATTAAATACGAAAAAATAAAATGAAATTAAAAAAATTTTATATTTATAATTCATTAAAAAATTTATTTTTATAATTTATTATGAATTAAATGAAATTAAAATTTAATACTCCATATAGTAAGGATTTAATTTTTACATGTAAAAAAATGAAAAATAAATATCATGTGTCTATATATATATATATAAAATTTTATTTAATTTTTTATTTAATTTTTTTAATTTAAAAAAAATATATTTATGATATGATATTTAAAAAAATTGTAAAATAAAATATACCATAAATGGAGGGATGTCCTTTTATGTAATTTTATTTACAAACAGCTAAGTATAAACAGCTAAAGTTGCCAAACACTTAAAATTTAACTGCTAACAGAAACAGCCGGTCAAAACAGCTAACTCAATCAGCCATTCAAACCAGCTAACATAAACAGCCAACTGCCAACAGCTAGTGTCCAAACAAGGCCCACATTTATAGACTATGGTTGTAGTAGAAAGCGACTGTAATTCACAAACGACGCAATCGGAACAGCCTTAGGATTTGTGTATGAAAAAAAATATATATTATCATTGTGAAATTAAACTTTTAGCCTTCAAATTAGCACCAACATGATAGAAGATCAAAAAAGGACTATCTGTGGAAAGATACTCATAAAAAAAGGACTACGGGGGTAATACTCCCTCCGTCCCGGAGTATTCGTCCACTTTTGACTTTTGGAACTGTTCATCTAAGCACTTTGACTCATCAAATTCTCTCAATGTGTAAGCCAAAATATAGTCATGTGTGATCTTGTTTGATTTGTCTTAACATATAGATTATTAATATATAATTTCTATAATTTTTTAATATATACAAATTACAAGAGTAAAATGGATTAAAGAAGTGTATTGGATGGTGTGTAAAAATGAAAGTGGACAAATACTCTGAGACGGAGGTAGTATTTAATAATAGAGGACTAAATAGGAAAACCCTCCTGTTATAAAGGACCAATTATGGAATTTACTATTTTCTTTAGTTATTTGATAAAATAATATAGTTTTAATGTAGAACTTTTGATGTAGTTTTAAAATATATAATTTTTATTTAAATTTTACAGTTATAATCAATTAAATTGAATTGAAAATAATTTCATTCAAATCTCATAAAACGAATTGGGAAGATCATTTTAGGACGGGGAGAGTAATTAAAGTTTGTTTCGTTATCTGAATTTATGGAAGGCAATCCTTATTATTTAATTACAATATTCATTTTGACCTTCAAATTAAATCGGAAACACCCAATATTATTTCATTTTGTTACCAAAGGATATATTTCACTCGAAGTAGAAGGAAAGTTTGATGGGAGAGAGTAGAAAACTAATTGATTCTACGGAAGGGCGGGAAGATTGGTTCTAATTTGCTTAGATAACCTTAGGACTTGATTGCAAAAAAGATAAATTTAATTCTACTTAAATGAGATGGCATATGTGTCCACATGTCAATTAATAATTGAGACAAGTAGGGAGTGTTTTAAAACACCCACTTTAGAAAGGGCACCGAAGGAATCGCCTTTAAAGATTAGTGCGAGTAAAGAAAGCACGAAACCTGATTTTTTTGAAAAAAAATTGAATCATATACTTCTAAATAGTATATGTAGAAATAGGTCATATACTACTACATTACAATAATAGTTTTTATTGACACGTATACTACTACAAAAATGGCCTTTTAAATAGGTCATTTTTACATGAAAAATGCTAGGGTCGGTGTACCCCATTTGTCCCCCACCTCCTCCATTACCACATAAATAATGGGCAAGAATTTTAAAAAAAAAATTAAATAAATAAAAAGTAGATAAAAATGAGTGGTGAAGAAGGAGGTGGGGGACATTTGGTGTACCCTTAGCATGGCTCTTTTTACATGTTTAAATCGGTTGAAAGGCATTTAAAGGCCCCTGATTTTATCAGATAACACCTCCTCGATCAGCTGGAGCTGTAAGTATTAGATCGCAAGATTGTGTTGATCTTGTCGAAAATACTTCCCTTCAATACCAGTCCCTGATTTCATTAACTCGAAACTCTCTAGCTCGGCGGCTTCTGTTTTGGTGAGATCATTCACTTTTCTTATACATTACCCAAAATGTAATGCATTCCATTCTCAATTTCTCATCATTGATAGGGTAGCCCATTACTTACTTGTCCTCAAACATGCCCATTGCATGTTGAGGCCAAGCCTTGTCCTCATCCTCAGATGCAGTTGTGTGTCCATTAAACGTGTAACTGACTAGGCATTCATTCCGGCAATTATTAGACGTATTCATGTACAAAATTTAAGTAGTGAGCATGAGACTTCAAATAGGCGTTGTTGCCCGTCCCCGTTTGGATACTTGGAGATGTCCCGGCACCCAAATCCTTCATAAATTTTGAAGAAGTTGACGTTTTCACTCTTCTGACCCCGTTCCCGTCTTGGTGCAAATTAAGTAGTGGGCATGAGAAGGGTTAGAGGTAGACCTAGGAAGAATAGGAAGTAGGTAATTTGACAGAACTTACTACTTCAGGATTTTACCGAGAATATGATTTAAGATAGGAACACCTGGACGCCTAGAATTAGAGCAGTTGGGTAGGCCTTTAAGCCTTAGTTTGAAGCTTGTGTTGGTGTGTTTTTTGCCTTAGTTCCTTGCTTGTGCATGTGTGTTGTCTATACTTTGGGCAAGAATTGCTAGTGGTGGTATGTGTGCTTATTTTGTCTGTACTCTTACTTTGTGCTACCTTGTTTATTTTGCTTACAGAGCTTCTTTCTCGGCCATATGCAGCTTCTTTCTCGGCCATATGCAGCGTAGACGAAAGGGATGTTCTTGCACCAATCGAGTTGGTTAAGAGCTCTAATCATGTTTGGACGTCCAATTGAAAATACACACACATCCCATGGTGGTTTTGTATATTTGAACGCTTTACAAATCACATGTAATGGAAATAGGTTATATGGTATCTAAAAACAACTCAAGATATGAGTTCACAACTTTGTAAGAGTTACCCTACATGTTTCTGAACAAAGGAAAGTACAAAAGTTTGGGTTCTTTCACAACCAAGTACACAACATTTTCATCTGCGATTTATTCCGAGTCAGACGAATCTGCATTTGAGCTTTGGCGAACACTCCTTTGTTGAGATTTTGATTTTGATGCCATTAAAGAAGAAGACTCAGACTCAAGATTGATGACTCCAGCTTTGGCTAACCTCTCTTCTAGTTCCTCCGTCGTAAAATCATCTTTTCCCCCGAGCTCATCAAAACCAACCTAATAAGCGTCATGCATAATGATCAGTTAAAAAAAACTCCCACAAAAAAAAGCACAAGTTTGTAATTTTTTTGTGGTGTCATGGACATCAATCACAATTCAAGTGTTTGAGCCAAATTGGCCCTTAATAGTTCCAAGGAGAAACGGTTTCATGACACAGAACGTACCACATAATCCTCTACTTTAGCATTTTTAACAAGGGCAATTGTTGGGAGAACAGTAATCTTCAGCTTTTCGGCCAAGAACGGGCTTTTCTCAGCATGAATTTTTACATAACGCGTCTCCATATGCCGTTCTGCCAATATTCGCATATGCTTATCCACTACCTGCCATCATCATATTGTGCTGGTTAACATGCCATAAATGCTTCCCCCTCAAGTAAAACATGGAACATAGTGTGAGAGACCATAAAAAGAACAAAAAAATTGGGAAGAAACATGTTTTTATGCACAGTCCTCAAAACAAACCACAAGCTTCTAAGATTGCATGCTCAAATTGGTGTAAGTGTGTTCCATTTCATTCATAATACACAAAATAAAGCACAAACCAAGTCAAAATAATTAAATGAAAAAAAACATAAATATTCACTGAATTAATGAAAACAAAAACATTCCATCTTAAAACACAGATATTGAACCCCACAAGAAGCAAAACACACAACATCACACTGGATTCCTTTGTCTATATAGCAACTTTCAGCAGAGGGAGAGTTTATTCCTATATAAGCATCAAACCTTTGAAGTTGAGGATGATAATGACTCTCAGATACTAGCAGTGGAAGAACAAGAATTCTGTTGGACAGTGGACTGAATGTATTTTTTTTTTTTTTGCAGAACTCAGTGGCTTAAGAAAGAGAGTTTCATCAGAAAAGGATAATCAGGCAATAATTTTTACAGTACTGGAATAATCAGGAAGCTAATGAGCACAAACTGTAAAATCCTGAATGAAAGCTTCCATTTTCCCATCAAAACCATACTGCAATCACCAGCACAAGAGTGTGCAAGTCCTGTGCAGTAAAGGCAGCTTGATCTTATCTCCATAAAAAAGCTTACTTCAAATGAAACCAAGCTAATAGTTACACCACAGAGCACCATTGTTCTAAAAATCCCCACCTAGCCCCGCCTAAGACCGCCAACACCATGATAATCTCCGCCTAAATACATCAACACTGGGCCATGTAGCAGCATATGAAGGGTTGAAATGTGAGAGCGGGATAGTTTTTTTAGTCCCACCCTCCACTGTTGCCACATAGCACAACAATGAAGTAGACAACATCTGAGGGTGGGTTAACACTTTTGAGGCAGGGCTGCAGTATATCCCCCCTAGCCTAATCTAGGCGAGCAGATTTCATGTCCCAAAAATGTTATCTCATTTTAAACATGCTGCCACGACAGCACAACAATGAAATGAGACTACCTTTTTGTACTATGCGGCAGCATGAGAAGGGTGAGTCATGACTCACAACGTGGTGGCGTGGTGCAATACCATTTTTGCGACAGGGATCCCCTACCCAAATCTATCACCTAGGACACACCTGGCGCTTGCTCTAGTCTACCACCTAAAACACATCTAGCACTTATTTAGAGCAACTTTCCTAGAACAAGGAACATCACAGATCAAGTTTCTGTAGAGTAAGATAGCAGAATACTAATTTAAATTTTGGACTTGAATTATGTCAAAATCATGTATCGATAAAGGACATTAATCTATTGAATTCTACACCAATTTACACAAAAACAGAGCTAAAATGAATGGATTTATTTCAACTATAGTGATTAGGTTACCTTGCAAGGCCAATTCTCGCGGTAGAAATGGCAGACAACGCGCTCGCTGGCCTTAACCACGGAGAAGAAATCTTTTTCGGCCATTATCTCGGAATACTCGCCGTGGCCGAGAGATTTCCAGCGGCTCCGCTTCTCGGCCATTTTCTTCATCTGCTGCAATCTGCGCTCCCTGAGCACCTCTATATCGTCAAGGTCTAGCCGATCTAGGGCCGCAATTTCCTCATCGATCTTATCCTCTACGGCCTTGGCCACCGTCAACACTTGCTTCTCTATTATCTGGCCAGAAAAAAAAATGAAAAATCACAACAGGAAGAATTCCGTGATTGATAGAACAGCTTCCGGCCAGACTTAGAATCAATGTGTTAAAAATTCAGACGTAAATGTCCATGGACTTGTAAAGCGTACCTCTTTGAGCTGGGGATTCTCCATTGGGAAGATAGATGCAAAGCTAATTCTCAAATCGTTATGGAACAACCGATTTATGGAGTATGATGAAGCCTATCTTGTAAAATCCTGAATGAAGAGAGTTTGTAGAGTTTCTATTGGAATATCTAAGAGAAAAGGATGAGTTAGTAAAATCTTGGATTGAATCAACTAATCAGATTCAAACCTTTACTCTTTGATTTTGGCCAAAATGTTTCATGGCCTGGTTAAGTGAAATCAGGCCAATACAAAATTCTAGCATCACTCAATCATGAAATTGAATTATGTATCAATTCTACGCGTGAAAAGCAGAGAACAAACATATCCATACTAATATCTCATGCAAAACAATTGGGAGGTATGAGTATAACTATGTTGTTCTCCACAGAACCATAGAATGGAAGGCTTTAAATGACAAACTGGTGCGGATCTGATGCATAGATCTGAAAGTCTAAAGATCAAGTGGTGAGGTCGGGCTCTCGAAAGATAACAGTATAAGCTGTATTGACGTCCTAGTATGGATCTGGACAGGTCAAGGGGTGACAAGCTTGTATTTCAGTACAAGAAGCAATCTGAAACCCATGATAAACAGCTCCATAACCAGAAATGTAAAACTAATTGATATGGAGCATCAATCTGTACATGTTTCTAAAGACAGACATTCTCAAAATTGCTAAAGTTGCTATTTTTGAAAACAACATCAAAGATATAAGAGAGATTTGTCGGTTGGAACATTGGATTCCCCACCAGGTCCGGTCCTAAGAATTCAATGGCCTGGGCCGAGATGGAAAAAAAATAGTCCTAAAGGCTTTTTATGGATGTTGTAAAAATGTATTTTAGAAAATTTCCACTTATTTTTAACTCTTCCTAACAATTATAAAAAGTCAACTTGAGAAGATTTATGGTGTACAGAGAGTATATATTATTTTTCTTTTAAAAAATTATTTTCATTTACCGTTTTCAATAATTAGCACCTAAAATGTCAAATTTCACATACAAACATTTTCAATGCCACATGAGTCCACAATGCATCTTTATCATCTTCGCACTCTTTATTGTGTTCTTCAGTCAAATATATTTTCAATGTATTCTTCTCAGCACGACCACTTTTCTAATGTGAAGCACGACAATAAACTCAACTATTTAATCAACTATTGAATGCTTTAGACAGACTTATGTTTTGAAATTAAAATATATGTAGATTGGATCAAATGTGTATTTGAAGAAGTTAGGAGCTCAGGTCGACAGTGTGTATGGTCTATTGTCCCATATTTTGGGTCAATACATTTTGAATTCTGAAATTGACAGGTTAAACTGAAAGTGTCGGGGCTGTTTAAATTTATGAAGATGATGATCAAGACAGAACAAAGATGCTGTTGTGTTATGTGTACGCCTTATAATCCTGATTTTTGGAGTTAAAGTTGGTAATTTAGATATTTAAATCCCATTTATATATGTCAGATACTCCCACTTCTTATACAAAGCATTACACAAGTATATAAACATTTCAGCACCATGTCAACAAACTAAAGTCATGTATAGAATTACGGAATTACCTCTTACATTCCATTATATACAGTGTCTCACTTTAAGGGGATGTCCATTTTCCAAAATTACCGGAGCATATTGTGTCCTAAATGGATATCAATCAGTGAGTTATGAGTAGCAAAGAATTGTATGTTGCTTTGTTGAGAAAAGTTACTGTTGGATATGAATGTAGTGATGAGTATTCAGCAAAAAATTGGTTTACTTTTGTTGGAACAACCGGGTAAGGAAAATACTAGGGGCACACCAAAGGTGTACCCCATTTGTCCCCCACCCCCTCCATTACCACTTAAATAGGCAAGAAATTTAAAAAAAATTAAGTAAATAAAAATAAAAAATAAATGAGTGCTTATGGAGGGGGTGGTGTACAAATGGGGTACACCTTTTGGTGTACCCCTAGCATCTCCCACCGGGTAAACATGGTATGAGACAATTAAAACACAATTGATTTGGTTTTTGTGTACAAGGGTTATGTGATGTTATTGCTTAAATGGAGAGTAGTATAAAGAGAATGATGTGTTTAAGTGTACTAAATCTTGAAATAATATTGGAGCCAAATATCCGAATCCACAATCTAATAAAGGTACTGTGCGGTTCTATTTTTTTGGGTTTTTCATGTAATTCCTTTAACCTTCTCAATTATTAAACTAACAGAACAATGTATGGAATTTGAGACAATAACTTCTTAAAAATTGGGTTAAAGATTTGAATCACACTTATGCATTCTATGTGGTTGACATGTCCTTAACCATATTAACAAGAAATGAAATTTTAATATTAAAGAATGAGTAAAGCTAGAGTCACAAACCAAATATTCACAAAATGCACAAACTTACCCAATATATAAAGTAATGGTTTTAAATAATGGTCTCAATAATTACCGTAAAAAATAAAAAGTTAAATACACAAATAGTAAGTTTGTGCATTTTGTGAGTGTTTTGATTGTATATCTAACATTACTTTTAAAAATGTAGAAAATCAAGCATTGCTATATTCTTTTATTGTATTGAAAGGAGAAATTTTTCTATGCCGATACCATGTAATATAGAATGCAGAGTATTCTCATGCATAGGTGAATCAAGAAATCAGGGATACTAGAGAATTCAGCCCTTGCTATATCGATTTGACTATGACTATCCAAAATTACTCTATTAGCAATACAAAATTCATTTTCTTTTTCTATTTTTTAAAATTGAGAAAAACTTTCTCTTAATTGAACACATAAAAAGCATTCAAAATAAGAATCCAAAGATGAAAGACCAATTAAAAATATGCAATTTTCATCAATTATTAGTTGGAAACAACAATAAATCAATCGATTAAAGATTTAAAACATTAAGCATTTAAAATTTCAACTCTGCCAAAGTATAGATACCTGTAGAAGTTGGAATGGCAGTTAGGTTGATGGCGGAAATAAAGGCAGCAAGCCGTAGCCGCGATGGTGCGCAGACTCTGGCAGAGTTAGCGGCGGCAAGGCGTAGCCACGACGGAGCGCAGATCCAGGTTCGACTATGCAGATCCGGTCTTAGGTCTCTATGCACGTTTTTAGTTTTTAGATTGACACAATTTCATAGTATTTTTTAGTTAAATTGTGGTATACTTTGACAATAAATTAAATACGATTTAAAAATGATTAAATATTATTTCCCCCGTCTCACAAAACATTACTTATTTTGAATAGTATTTGGTCAAACAATTACACGTTTTGACTGTAAATGGTGAGAAAAGTATATTGAATTTTAATATAAATTTAATATAATTCAATTATCTAGTTTTGATATATCAAATTTTTATAACATTTCTTTATTTAGATTATACGGAGTATTTATTTTATGGACAAAGCATGTAACTGTTTGACCAAAAATACATCAAAATTGGTAATGTTTTGTGGGACGGAAAGAGTATAAAAAATTAATAAATCAAAATTGTATCTTCAAATAAATTCAATTTTACAAAATTTAAATTATAACTAAGTTTATTTTTTCCATAGTTTGCGGTCGAACTCAAAAAGGTTATCACAATTTGAATTTTTGGTAAAATTGTGAAATATATATATATATATATATATATATATATATATAATTTTTAATAATTAAATGCTATAAAAGTTTAATATATCGAAACTATATTTTAAAATAAATCTAAAATAATCTCAACTTTACTCGGTCTTTAAAAATAATTCTACTTTGCACTATGATGCATAATAATTCTAATTTTACTAAAATTTGTAAGTTTAAGATCGCCGTTAAGTGGTCAACGGCGTGTTATTTAAAAGTCACAACTCCGTATATTTAAAACTCACAACTCCGTAAATTTATATTTTATGTATTGTGCGTAAAATGTCAGAAATAAAATATAAATATACGGAGTTGTGAGTTTTAACAATTTACGCACAATACATAGTATTAATGCACTTCTTCTTCTTTTTTTTAAGAAAAATTATCTAGAATAATATCAACTTTATCTGTTTTTTCAAAAAATAAGAAGTGATAAATTAATACTCTATTGTGCGCAAAATGTCTCCACTCCTTATATTTTGATGTTATTTCTTACCACTTTGAGTTTAATTTCTATTGATTTTTCTATTTATTTCATTAATTTTGTATGTCTTTATTTATTTTCTCATTTTTGTTATTTGAATATCTATTTTTTATTTTTATAAGGAAAGACCAATTTTTAAAAAATGAAAAAGAAATGAAGAAAGATATCCATTTTTGAAATTTAGATGAAAATTTCAGAAAAATTAAAAAATGAAAATTCATAAAAAATAATTCCAACTTTCATTTTATTACGCAGAATAGGTCATTTTTGTTAATACACTGTTGACAACTTAACGGCGATCTAAAACATACAAATTTTAGAAAAATTAGAATTAGAGAGGTTGGGCAAAACCCCGATTAGATGGTTCCAAACGACAAAACCAACACTCTGTATTGCATAGAACACATCATTTCGGCTACACATTCAGAATAGGTTTCCTGGTACTACACTATATTATGGATTTTGAGTTGGGTATAAAGTTTCTTGTCAAAGATTGATAACACACTGCACATCAATTTCTGTTTTAAGCTTTTACTCTGTTTCTTCTTCGCACTGGCAGAGAGTTTTTCTTCTTATCAACTTGGGGTTTGCTCTCCTTTGGCTTCTGAGATGCCTGATGATCAGCATTGACACTAAGTTTGGATTCTGGAGTAGTAATATGTTTTACTTCACCAGTCTCTTGAGTTGACAATGGCAACTCTTTGGTATCTACATTGGCATGTTCTTCAACAGCAGGCATGACATTTTTGGTTTGTGGTGACGGATGGTTAAAACTCCAACGTGTATTATTAAACCATTTGTTAACCTGTAGTATAAGAGATATCGTTACAGAAGTGGAAACATAATAAGTGTTAGTTTCTAGTCAACATTTTAAGGCGATTTCCTATTTCCCACATATTTTTTTACAAAATGATACCACCTAACTTTATTCACTACACTGGTTCTGATTGGCTTGTTATAAAAATAACTGGAAAAGATGCTCTAATTGAGCGCTCCAACTTTGCTTTTTTTAGATTTTTTTTATAACTCACTGTAGAAATATATTCCCTCCATCCTAAAAATATCTTCCCTCGACACATTTCTTAAGATTGAATTTGTGTGGTTTTGGTTTATTTATAAATGATAGAAAGAATGCAGATCACACAACTCTTTTCTTAGAAAGAAACAAGAGGACATCCCACAAGAGTGGGGCAAGAAGGATTAGAGTATATTGAGAGAAGGCGGCGTTTTTAATATGGAGGAAGTATATGTTAAATAAATGGTCTACTTAAGCCAATTAAACCACAATATTTCAGGATATTCAACAAATTCAGCCACTCAGCTCACTTATTTTAGGCCAAGCCAATTTTTTTTTAGATAAGCAAGAGTTAGAGTAATAATAACAGTTGTCAGTCCAATACAAATGCTTGAGTGGAAATACACGAACCTGCTGGACTGCCAGTCCCAATTCTTTAGCCAAGCTTTCCTTGACTTCTCGTTTTGGGTAGTGATTTTCCTTGAAGGATTCATAGAGCCTCTGCAACAGAGAGATTTTAGGTATACATGTCAAACTGAAGAAATGAACAGAAGTTAAAGGCCAGGATGCTCATAGGAACACATTTATTGAAGTGGTAGAACTGTTCTGCATTTTAATATAGGTTTGGATATAGTACGAGAAACAGATGACATTCTACAAATACAAGTAAAGGTATTTTTGAAGAAGCAGAAATTACACCACAATTTTTTATTTGTAAGTCTTGTGTGCAAACATTTGGAGAAAAAGAGCAGCTATATTAAAGGTGCCACTGCAGTTATTTAAGCTGAAAACACAAACAAATCATTTTTACCTTAATTACATCATCTCCATACTTTAATCTTGTGTTTCTTTTACTACTTAAACCAGATTCAGATTCCACCAAGCTTTCAGCCTTCCGCTTCTTGCTAGACATTCTAGAAGCATTCTTGACAATAGTATCTACTGGACTTTGATCAGATGACTTCAGAGCAGCTTTGTCACTTCTTTTCTTTCTGTTTTTGGAAGCTGAATTATCCTCATAATCTTCATCACTAGAGTCAGAGGATGCAACTCCAAACGTTTCCTACAGGTGCCAACAAATTAAGATGGAAACTATGCAGTCAGATTACAGATTAACAATTAAGATGGAAAATCGGCATTGCATGAATATGAACCAAGCCTGATAAAGAAGCAAATGATAAATATGACTACAACCTAAACTAAAAGTACAAGTACAATATGCCAAGACTTCTCAACTCAAAAAAAGGTCAGTTTGGAACCTGAAAAATACCATGGGCAGAAAATAATGAGAAGAATATAAGGGAAATTTGGGGGAAAACAAACTTTTGGTTCAAAATTAGCATCAATATAAGGTATTCATATATATAATTTCATTTTCCATCATCTAAAGATAATAAATTTAAACATATGTTTAACAAAACATTTTTCATAGCATTTCCCCCCTTACCCTAACATTTTCTTGGTTCCAAACATAGCCATACAGTTTAGTGTGTGTGTGTGAGAGAGAGAGATCAATAAATCATTGACGATGGATTGGGAACATTGGAAGAGTTATAGTTTGTATGATCACTTGCAAGATAAATCATAAATTTAATACTTAAGAGGCAAAGTATGCAGTCATTATAAAATAAGAAACTCACATCATGTAACTTTTTGTAATCCAACCTCTCAACATGCCTTTTTCCAGATGCAAGTGTTTCATAGGACTGCATAAGAAATCCAACTTCACCCTTCAAGGAATGGGGCCCACCACCTACTTCTACTTTTTCATAATGATCTTCTTGCCCAGGCAACATGATATTTTTAAACTCTACACTGAAATCCTCAGAGTCAGAAGTAAAATCAGAAGATGAACTATATTGCATGATCTGTTCATTGTGTTCATGGGAATCAGGATCATAATCATCATCTTCTGAATCTTCAGATGGAAGCCCAAGGAGTAGTTCATCATTAGGGGTCTCCAATTCAAAAGATGTGTCAGAAGAATCACTTTCATCATCAGAGTGTGATTCATCATCTTCTGAAATCTTCGCATCTACTTCCAGATTATCAGGGTTATAGTCGTCATCCTCAGAATCATCTGAGGGTAATCCC